TTTTTTTTTTTTTTTTTTTTTTTTTGTGAAGCCCCTGAATGAACTACCATTATTGTTTATTTAAAAAAATAATCTCTCTGAAGTGATGATCTTTAAGCCCCTGAATGAACTACCATTATTGTTTATTTAAAAAAATAATCTCTCTGAAGTGATGATCTTTATGGGGCTGGTATTGCATACACACGTGCCTCTCTTCTTTTGACTTCAGCCTATTGTTTACCTGCTACAATTAAGTTTTTCTTTGCCCCACTGTTCAGCTGTCCCATTTTCCTATGTTTCTTAGCAGACCAATGGTACATATCCCTGTGGTATGGCATTGTTGGAAGTAATTTGAATGACCTCTCAGAAGAGCGGTGACCTCATACTACACAATTTGAATAGAAGTACCTGAAAGTGTCTTGTTAGGTACCTCAGAGCTCAGTTAAAATTGCAGCTAATTTTAATGCTRGTTTGTTTTGTAGATTTCACAGCTAAAGTTGTTCCTCTTAGTTATCTCTTCTGATGGCTTTTTTGGCTGCAATCCAACATTCAAAACATTAGACTGTTGTTTCTCTTAAATATATGCCCTTAAGTTGCTTCTTACATGATGCTTTGAMTACAATGGAGTTTTTGATATCTCCTGTGAAAATGATTTTTTTCTTGGATGCTTTTTCTTACAGCCACCCATGCGGAACACACACTCTGCCCTCCTCAAGCCAATTTCGTTAGAGGATTTAATCATCCCTGTGGTTGTTTCTGTATACCTATTCCAGGGTAAGAACAAATCTATTTAAACACTATATATTCTGAAGTCTTTTTTATCTATACATTCTATCTAAGAATATAATGCTGTATGGCCATAAGTGACCAATAGCCTCTAGGCAACTGCACGTTTCTGCCTTCCCGTAACTTGTAGTCTTAATGAAGAGTGCACTTTCTGTTGTCTTTTGTGCAATGAATTATTCTCTTTCCATTTCCTAGAAGGAAGTTGTTAATGTTACAGGAACTGTCATTATGATAGGATTTCTGCTGACCTCTTAAGCAGAGATTCAGCAAAACATACAAGCATGTTCTCAGCTTTTGAAAAATGAGTACATGGTGGTTTATTTCTTCGAGTAATTCTAAAACAGAATCATGTTTCTAACTGGGGCCTCATTTCATTGTTATTTGACTTGCAAGGATGGCCACATTTATAAAAATTCCAGAAATGCCTGTTGTCAAGACAAAATTCCAAAAATTTTGAGTTTTTTTTAATCTATCATGTGCTATGGATAATAGCACACATTTAGTGCATGTAAATGTTGAAGTTCTTAATATCTTCAAATATAAAGCTATAAAATTACTTGCATTGCTTTTGCAGAGAATCAAACAAGACTCAAGTCCTCACCTTCTTCCAGACTGATCTTGGTGGCTATCTTCCCCAAACTGTGGTGGAATCCTTCTTTCCAGCTAACATAGTTGAATTTTATAGCAATCTGAAAAAAGCTCTTAAGACATTAAAATCGTGACAAAACCAGTTGCTGAGATGACTGACCRAGGGTAGGAAAACCACTGGCAGCTTGAGGATAGAAATGATGGGAAATAGAGGTTGGCTACAACACTTTTTTTTTAACAGCAGAGATGTTTGGAAAAGGTGAAGTGGCATCAATGAACTGAGTAAGGTAAACTTTTCACACAGCATTTTCTACCTGTCTGCATTCAAGGCAATGCACTGCCTTCTAATGTATTTTTTTCATAATTAAAATAAAGGTTATCACACCAGATGCTGAAAGAATCCTGGAGGCAGCACACTGCTAGCTSTCTGCAGGGAGAAGATGCATATTTTTATCTCTTCTTAGCCATACTTCATCAATGTCTATCAAGAGGAGCTTTCTAAAATCCACTTAGTGCTACCAGCACTGGTCAGGTGCAGGTCAGCCCTCTTGTTTCTCTGCAGTTCCCTAGATAATCACTTGGAACAACGTTCCTTCCCCAAAGGAGGCACTAGCTCTTTTGCTGCCAGCACTTGCGTAGCTGCAAAGATGTTAGGATGGGACGAAGCCAGCAAATGGAGGAAGCCAGAACGAACTGGACTGCGTCTGGAGGAGCCAACTTGCTTCTTCCAGCAGATTTCGGTACTAATGATAAACATGTGCTTAAGTGCTCTTTTCTGAATCAAGGTCTAACAATCTAAATCAATTCACAGTTCTGTGGTCTGGCAAGCTCCTTTCCTCTCTTMTATACCAAAACCAGTGATTTCCACAATGTTACGAACCAAACTGCATTGCTATAGTGGTAATAAATAAAGAAGATAAAGCACTTTACCTGCTATTTTTTTCTAACTGTACTTGAAATGACCATATATTTAAACATCCTTTAGTCTCTTATAGTGAGAGTTATTATCTGGAAAATAATCTTTCTGTACCTTAACCTTGATTTGACAGAATGTATTGGTTTCTCTGTAAGACTGCCTCATCTCACAGCATTATGTTGGGAATTCACCTCCTGATCTAGTGTGCAGTGATRCTTGCAGTTCTCGGAAATATTTATGGGACTGATTACTGCAGGAATGTCAGGTGGTGTTAAGGATTGCATATAATTACAAAAAGGAAAAAGAAGTAAATTGCTRAATTAGAATTTTAAATGCAGGTTATGATTTTAATGCTATAATTTGATTATTTAATGAGGTTAGTATGCTCTGTTTTCTGTCTTTTTTGTTGTATGTATATTAGAGTGTATGGACTTGCATACAAATTCTCCTACTGTAATTTTTATCCTGTGGAACAGACTTTTCAGGGAAGCAATTTTTAATATAGTCGCCTTTGTGCACAAAGATGTAAAAATTCCTATGAGAGTGATACAAAATAAATATTTTTCTGCTGTATCTTACTGTTTTTCTTGGATAATCTTTTAAAATGGTTTCCCAMCCCATTGCTTTGCCAACAGGGATATTTGGGAGGCTCTTGGACATGCAGCATCTCTGTAAATTCACTGCATCCAGGYAGAGAAGAGCCTCCATTCCAGTTTKCATTCCCCACTAAGTGAGGATAGGTATTTAGGTGTTTTGGTGAGAGCACTAGCCCTCCTGAGTCCAGTGTCYTCTCTTGGTTGTTAATTCCAAATTAGATTGGTGCTTTCTGTGCTTAGGAATTAGGAAGTTGAGTGAGAAGAGGTTTGAGCCCTGCTACTACAGAGGTTAATACAGCACAGTTAGATAAATGTGCTGTAAGTCAGCATGCACTACCTGTGCAAATCTTTGAAGGATTGTGATTTTTGTTAATTTAAAGATCAGAAAGYTAAAGGAACAGAGCCCAAATTGCCACTATTTATTGCTGCAAGTAAACTTAATGCTGACAGTGRGCCTTTTTATGTTAGCTATATATAAATATATATATATATGTTTGTATGTATGTTATGTTACTTCAAACAAAAAGAATGGCAGGGGAGGCTCTTCATTGGAATAACTTAMGGTTCCTTTCTTTTAACTGTTCAAGACGTTATGCAGAGAGAATTAAAATGCCGTAAGACACTGCAGCCTTCCTGCCCTGCCAAAGTAGGGATGGAAATATCTTAGTAAAGATCCTCCTGTAAGATGTTGGATGTCTTCTCAGTAGAAAATGCTGCCAGTCGTACAGTGTATTTTCACTTCTGGTTTTGATCCTAGATGATATTGGAAAATGGAACGAATGTGTTAAAGCCACAAGGCTGACCTTGACAAGATATAGCTTTAACTGTACTGCTTTCCTGTACACAAGCAATTCACATTTTTCCCATATTGGTGATATGGGCACGTGGTTGGAACACCGTAGAACCTTTATATGCACTGGAGGTTTACTTAGACTCTGTTAAGCCAGAAACACAGGTTGATTCAGGTAGGCACTATTTTTAAATGTACAAGAAGGTATTTTTTTCTCCTATTTTGGTATTTTGCTACTCAACTGCTAGAATCCCCTTTGAGTTCCCTTTGAATTTTCCCTTTGAATGTTCCCCTTGAGTTTTCTTGATTTTTAATTGGAGAAGGCAGTCAGTTGGAAGGGGGTCTAGGTGTTAGGGGCAGCAGATGGCTTGTCAAGAATGTTCTTCCCAGGATTAGCATAGAGTGGATTTGTGAACAACGGCCAAAGCAAGTTACRTGCTTGGATGCCATGAGTATCTTCTGTTATCTGTCCTACTTCTCCTTCCAACAGTTGTCATTTCTGTGACCTTTCCTTAAGTGTTCATGAAACAGTTTTGGAACTCTTGTAACTTACGGTCTCGTGAAATGAAGAAACTGAAGAAGAGTGCAGCAGATTTCTCAAGTATGGAAAGGTGAATAGCCAAGGACAATGATAATCARTTTAGCCATCCAGCATTCAGCTACGGACCAGCTACTCTGAGGACAAAGCATCTGCTATTGTACGAGAATATCTTCCTTAAATCTCCTGCTTTTCATTTGATCAGAGAAGACCAAATGAGCGAATGACACTATCTTGCCATAGATCCACATGCAGAGGACTGAAGACCTAAAATACTCACAGGAGTATTTAAAGCAYAGGTTTGTCTCCAAGCTTTCAGTATTTCTAGAATAACTTCTGGTGTTTTGGACCGTTGGGTCCAAAAGCTTTCGTTCCCATATACTCTGACACTTCTCTAATGGAATAACATTTTAAAGTTTAAGTGTGGACAGACTRTAACACACAGTTCTCAATGGCTTTGTTGCTCTCCTGCTCTAGTTCTTAGAATTCAGGCCAGAGAGTGATTAAAAAAACTCTGCTATTTTATCCTTAGCTTCCTTCCCTACCCTTACAATACTTGCAGATGGATCTTTTTTTTTTTTTTTTTTGACCTAGTATTTGCCTGCTAGAGTCGAGATGGTTTCATCGCCTGCTAGCACAAAGTTCTCCTAGACAGATTTTGGCACTCTTGACTGTTTTAGGATTTGAACAGAAAAGCTGGAGTTTTCCTAAGACTGTTGTTGTGTTGTGTCTCTCTGTTTCTCTGCCCATTACGCATCCTTTAATATTTTTTGGTGCTGTAGAATGTTTACTTATAGGGTCGCGGACAGATTTTCTTCTCCTATGTACATAGGGTAAGGAGCAAAATTACTGGAACGGGGCTGAACACTTACCTCGGGATGTGTTTCTTATTAAGTAAATGGTTAAAATAGGACAGTACCATAGCTGTCACACATTTTACAACCAGTATATTATTAATAAAATCATTATTGTATTATTTTACACTTTGTAACATCTGTTTCTGAACACTGAAGTAAGAATCATTAGCATTTTGTAAATATTTTCTCATCCCAAACAGCTTCTTCTGGAATTGCAAAAACATCTGTAACTGGCAGTAAGATCATATGTATTTTTCATACGTGCTTTCACAATATCTTGCTATGTTGGCCAAATAGCTTTCGGTAATGGAAGTTTTGTTTGCTTATAATASTAGCTGTAGTAATTGTAGTTCAATTCCTCTTCCTACAAAGTTTCGGATGCCTTGATGGTAACAGAGCTCAGATTCTTCCTCTTAATGATAGCTGTGATGGGCCCATCGGGTAACGCCTTGATTATATTCCATGCTTCAAAACGGGTGAGTCCCTGCATAGCAGTTGTGTGCACTTGCAATAGCTCATCTCCAGGCTGAACAGGGCTGTTTTGTTCTGATGTAATCCCTGAAGAAAGAAAATTCATTTCCTTTATTTTTTTTGTGTGTGTGGAGGACACTTTAACAAATATTTCACTCATTAAAGAGGACCAGCATGTGTGATAAAAACCACCTGGTCTCAGTAGAGAGAGCAGCAAATCAGTCACATTGGACTGAAATGGGTAATGCTGTATGGTTTTTTTTTAAAAAAAAAGTGTTTTTAAATCACAGTCAGTTATGTACAAGTTTGTATCAGATAAGGACCTGCCATACGTACATTTAAATGTGTTTACCTTTAAATATCCTGTTGATGACAATGGGTTTATCTCCATGAATGGAGCCCTTCCCTCCTTCCAAACTGAATCCCAAACCAGCAGGTGTTTTTTCAAGAGTTACAGTGCAGATTGTATTTTCAGTTGCTGGAAAGAAATGGGAAATTAGCAGATGGAGAACTATATAGTGTGAATAGCCTAAAACATCTGTTCTAAAGAATCAATTTCTATTTGTTTTGTTTGCAAAGGCACCAAAACTTGCCAGATGGAAGAGGAAATAATAGCTTTTAATTTTTCTTTTTGTCTTTATAAGACCCTCTGGGAAACTGGAGAGAGCAAGTTGTGTTTTGAACTCGCAGCAGAATGGAAAGATAAAAAGCAAAGTTGGTAACGTTTACTAGAAATGCAAAGATCTGTTCAGTGAACAAAATACAGGGTAAACATCTGACTTGGTATTAGTTTTGAGACTGTTATTAACAACAAAGCTACTAATGTTCACTTACAGTATGTAAATAAGGCTGCAGATTTCCAGATTATGCTCTGAATTTTTTTTTCCTAGAAGCTTKCTTTCTTTTAGAAATCCAGTAGTTGTTTTCCTCTCCAGCACAGTCATTCCAACTAGCTGTTCCAGGAGCACTCTATGAACTGTACTGTCTTTAATCATGGTTCTCGGGGTTTATCTAGCCAACACTGAGCTGCTCTTCAGGACAGCCAGAATTTCTGGTGCCAAGTAA